ACAGCCAGCCGCAGCCACCACCGAGGGAGCAGAACCAACTTAATCAAAACCACCATCGGGGAACGGAACCGACAGCAAAGGCCGGGGAAATGTAGCCGAATACACGGCAAAAAAGAAAAGGGTTTCCTTCCCCCCTTTTGGCCAGGCACTGAAATGCCAACTGGGAAGGCCCCAGGGCAGCCTCTTGGGGAAGAGAAATTGGCGCCACCGCTGAAAAGGCCCTGCCCCTGGACGCCCAGCGCTTCACCCCTGGAGATGGGACTCTCTACCCAAGAGCCTCTGAAGTGGATTGTAGAGCCAATTCAGACTTCTCTGCAAAGGACTGTAGAGCAGATGGCCCATCTTTTTTACACACTAATTTGCGACATGGGCAGTTACCGTGTAGGGTTGCAGGGTCCTGGGAACTCTTGGACTGGGGCAAGTTTCTGTCAAGAGCTCTCTCAGCCCCACCTGCCTCACAGAGTGTCTGTTGTGGGGAGGGGAAGGGAAAGGAGTTTGTAAGCTGCTCTGAGACTCCCTTGGGTAGTTAAGGGCAAGGGGTATGAATCCAATCTCTTCTCTTCTTCTTCTACTGAACTGTTTGATGACTTGTTTTTAGTTGTCTACGGTTTTTATTGTTATTGTGCTTCTATGATGTCTGCCGCCCTGAGCTTGCCTTAGCGGGGATGGCGGGGTACAAGTTCAAATAATAAATAAATAAATACATATTGATGTGTTTGCCCCCTCATTGTTCTCAGCATCCTCCACGGGAAGCAGCCCCACACGCCCACTTGCGGGGCAGAAGAAAAATCCCCAGCCAGGGGCCAGACACACCAGAGGCAGGCCGACAGAACAGCTGACGTGGACACTGCCGTATAAAAATTATAAACCAGAGACACTTTTTCTTTTTAAACACACACACACACACACAAAACATTCCCAGATGCTGGCTGCTTTCTCGGCCGGCTGTCAGCTCAGCAGAGCGCCTCACGTCCCCCAAGTGTCGAGCAGATGCTTGGCAATGGCCACCCTGCCTTCCCCACTCCGTCCCGGGTAGCACATCTGCTCGGGCATCGGCTGGCCTTTCTCAAATCCGTGGCGCTTTTTCCAGCCCCAGCCCCTCAGCTGCGGAGGGATGATAATGCAGCAGGAAAAATTCGCCTCGGACTGAAACTTGGCCGTAGGCAGGCAGGCCGCTCGGGATAAAACTTCGCTTGGGTTGAACGCCACAGAGAGAGGAGGGAGGAATGAAAGATAGATCCGGATGGGATAGCTTGGATTCGTTAACCACTTTCCTGGGGCCGGGAGCACTTTGTTGGGTTGCCAGCCTCCAGGTGGGGCCTGGAGAGCGCCTGGAATTAGATCAGTTCCCTTGGAGAAGAGAGGAGAAGAGACTGGATTTATACCCCGCCCTTCACTACCCAAAGGAGTCTCAGAGCGGCTCACAATCTCCTTTCCCTTCCCCTCCCCACAACAGGCACTCGGTGAGCAGTGCTCCCTCTAATCTGAGTTAGTGTGAGCTAGCTCACGGTTTTGTAGCCTCCAGCTCACACATTTTTTCCTCAGCTCAGGAAGGGTGGCTCCAGAGCAAACTGATTTATGCAGCGGCCAAATCGCTCACTCACAACTTTAAGGCCAGTAGCTCGCAGAGTAGAATTTTTGCTCACAAGACTCCACAGCTTAGAGGGAGCATTGCCTGTGAGGTGGGTGGGGCTGAGAGAGCTCTTTCGAGGACTGCTCCTGAGAGAACAGCTCCGAAAGAACGTGACTGACCCAAGGTCACACCAGCAGCTGCAAGTGGAGGAGTGGGGAATCAAACCCGGTTCTCCCAGATTAGAGTCCACCACTCTTAACCACTACACCAAACTGGCTCTGCTACACCAAACTGGCTTAACCACCGGTACCCCCCCCCCCCCCCCAAAGCAGCCATTTTCTGTAAGGGAACTGATTTCTGCAGTCTGGAGATCAATTGTCACACCAGAAGTTACACAGGCCCCACCTGGAGGCTGGCAAACCCACCTAAGACACAGCAAGTGGATATGTGGGAAACCAGTTCCTGCAGTGTAAAGCGCAGAAAGTTTTCTCCCCTGTGCAAAGGGAAACCCCAGAGGCTGGGGGTGGGGTACCGTCTCTCTAGATGGGCTCCCCCACCTGGAGGGCCCTCAGCAGCCATCATCCAGGTGTGAAAATGCTGTTGCGGCTACGAGTTGCTTTGAGCACAAAAGGAATGACCTAAGCGAAGCAATCCTCCCTCTAAGCTGTGGAGTCCTGTGAGCAAAAATTCTACTTTGTGAGCGACCAGCATCAAAGTTGAGAGCGAGCGATTGGGCTACGGCATCAGTTAGCTTGCTCCGGAGCCCTCCTTCCTGAGCGAAGGCAGAAGGGTGTGAGCCGGAGGCAAAGAAACTGTGAGCTAGCTCACACTGACTCAGCTTAGAGGGAACACTGGTCCTAAGGTATCCCAAAAATAGATAAAACGACACATTTGGCCTTCTGGGGATGATCTAACACTAGCAGAAGCTCCTCTGGTGTCCTGACAGAGACCTGCCCGATCCCATTCAGGTGCAGGGTGTTCTGGGTAACACAAAATTCTTCCTCAGGCCGACCCAGCACATCGTTCTGATAGGTTCAGATGCTTTAGACACCAGATACTTTGGGGTCTCTCCTTGCAAGGAGAGATAAGGAGGCCTTCCTGAATGAACAATGCAAAGTAATAGAGGAAAACAATAGAATGGGAAGGACTAGAGATCTCTTGAAGAAAATTGGAGAAATCAAGGGAGCGTTCTATGCAAAGCTGGCCATGATAAAGATGCTGGGAAAGATTGAAGGTCAGAGAAGACGGGGACGGCAAAGGATGAGATGGTCAGACAGTGTCATAGATGCAACGAACATGAAATTGAGCCAACTTCAGAGGACGGCGAAAACAGGAGAGCCTGGCGTGATCTGGTCCATGGGGTCGCGAAGAGTCGGACTCGACTGTGCGACTGAACAACAACAACAACTTTGGGGTCTTTAAGTGTTAAAGGGCTTTACCGGCTTTCTTTGGCTATCACAACAGCCGTGTGAGGTAGGCCATGATTATTTGCCATGATTTAAGGACAGAAAGTCTCTCAATGTAATGATTTCCCCAAGGCAGCACAGTCGGGGCTCTCTGCTAGCGAGCCCAACTCCCTTCCAGTTGGACCACACCGGCTCCCAGACAAACACATCCGTATCGGAGACGTGCATTTGTCGAACGAACAGCGGGAGTGGAAACGGGAACCGGGGGCGGCTTTCTGTTCTTTTATTGGTCCCATATTGCTCAATTAATCTCTCGGCAAGCTAGGCCCTCGCTTAGAATTTCAAAGAGGCAGGAAATGCTTCTGCGATCCAGACGGGGAAGGAGAAGAGAACGGGAAGGACCAGAGTGCAGACAGATCCCGGGCTGAGGAGCAGCCCCCGGAAGTGTGCAGCCACAGAGTTCGCTTCTGATGCTCAAGTGCACTTCTCCCTGTGAGAAAGAGGGGAGCCCCTCCCTTTGGGGAGGGGGGCGTGGCTCAGTGGCAGAGCATAGAGCTTGATAAAATTATGCTTGAGATAGAAAGAGTAGACAGAGGAAACTTTTTATCCCTCTCCCAAAACACTAGAACTTGAGGGCATCCAATGAAGCTGATGGGCTGTAGATTCAGGGCAAACAAAAGGAAACACTTGTTTACATAACAAGTGGTTAAAACGGGGATTTCGGTGCCAAAAGATGTAGTGATGGCCACAAGGACAGACACCTTTAAAGAGGGTTAGAGAGATTCATAGAAGATTGGTCAATCAGTGGCTACATGCCATGGTGACTAAAAGGAACTTCCATATTCAGAGGAAGTAAACTTTGAACACCAGTGCCAAGAAGCAACATCAGGAGAAGGCCTTCTCCTCTATGCCCTGCTCTTGGTCCTTCTTAGAACCTGGTTGGCCACTATGTGATACCAGGACTAGATAGACCACTAGCATAATCCATCAGGGCTCTTCCTATGTTCTTATGCCTTATCTCAGTACGAGGTCCCCCCCCCCTCTAAATTACATTTTCTCAATTACATTTTCTAAGTTAAACTAATACTGCAGATGGCACTGCTGGAATCAGAATGGAGTAAAAGCCCTCCTAGGGCAGGATATACTCTTTATTCTGCAAGAGAATCTTCACTCCAAGAAAGATGGCTGGAGCATTCCCAAGATCATCCTGGGAGTAGAGGTCCATCAGTGGCTATTAGCCACAATGTATAGATAGGAACTCACAGGCTGGGCAGGTGATGCACTGTATTCTTGGTGCTGGGGGGGGGGGGACAGTGGGTGGGCTTCTAGTGTCCTGGCCCCACTGCTGGACCTCCTGATGGCACCTGGTATTTTTGGCCACTGTGTGACACAAAGTGTTGGACTGGATGGGCCTGAACATTGTCTTCTCTTATGTTCTTATAGGAACCCTCAGTCTGGGGCAAGGGATGCTCTGTATTCTTGGTGCTTGGGGGGGGCAACAGTGGGAGGGCTTCTAGTGTCCTCCTGGCCCCACTGCTGGACCTCCTGAGGGCACCTGGTATTTCTGGCCACTGTGTGACAGAGTGCTGGACTGGATGGGCCACTGGCCTGATCCAACACGGGCTTCTCTTATGTTCAAAGCAGCCATTTTCTCCAGTCGAACTGAGCTCTGTTGTCTGGAAATTAGTCATTATTCCAGGAAATCTCCAGGCTCCACCTGGAGGTTGGCAAGCCTACCTATGGGGCAAAGCCGCTCGGCAGGAGCTGCAGTAGGAACATGACAGGTGGGAGGAAGCAGTCCACACAAACACACACACACACATGCGCACACACACACCCCTCTGATGCAAACTGCCTTCTCCTGAAACGTCCTTGTTTGGGAGAACAGATTGTAGGCTTCTCAGCACCCAGTTTGCTCTGTGACGGTGTGGCTCTCCCCAAGGCTCAACGCTCAGTCTGACCGGCTGATTTGCCCGCGGACCGGCTCCTCCTTCCCTGCGAGAGAGAGAGGCGCTCCTTACCTTGTGGATCAAGCTTGCAAACTGCAGGTTTCGCGAGAAGGAAATGTTTAGAACGGTGCTATATGCATTTTCCCCTCGGTTCTCCAGCGTCGCTTCTACCGCCACCCTCCTCCTGGAATTCTCTATGACAAAAACGGAGGAGTCAAAAGACAGGGCGTAGGCCGAGCAATCCGAGTGCGACTTTCTCAGGACGCGTCTGCAATACTCCCTATGAAAAGAGCAAATGCCAAAGCTGAGTGCCACGGAGTTTCCCACAATCCTCCAGGACGCAACGTCTGGCCCCCGTGGCATGGCAGGAGCAAGCGATGGCGCGAGCCATGGGCAGGGGGTGGGGTGGGCCAGCCATAGCTCACATGAGGGCTGCAAAGCGGGAGGTGCGTGGGTGTCAAGTCCCTTCCGACCTATGGCAAACCTATGAATGAATGCAAGGCTATTTTGGGGCAGGAACGCACAGGAACGGAGTTCCGGCTGGCTCCTGAGCTGGCCACGCCCAGCAGGAACTCATTAGCATAACAGGCCACACCCAA